TTGAAGGGCATTCTAAAGGTGTGGATGGGTAAGAATATTTGTTGCATAAGCAAGTTTCCTATTGCACAATTTTGGATTCATCCCTTTCTATTTATATGGAGGTTAAGAACACAATTTCCCTTTTGCCTTCAAGCAGACATATATCAAGACACAAATAATCAAGGAATCAGTTATTGATAGTCCATGAAACTTTAAATGAACCCTTTTTCAAAACACCTACCTGCTCCATAATAATAAATGGAGAACTATTTTGTTCATGAGTACTTTAAAAATAGTTTTTTATATGAAATGTACTGTAGTATTCCCAGTTTATAAAAAAAAAAAAATCCAGCATCAGGAATAAGGTTCCTTGCACAGGCAGATCTCTTGACCATCCTCATATTTATATTGCAAAAGTCATATGATTAAATGTTTTGAAAAATACTTCCAGTCAGTGTAATGACTTGTTTTTGATACAAACAAATGTATTTTAGAGGATTCATTATTATGGACAACTATGAAATCACAGCTTCTTTATTTAGTAGCCTGAAGTAGAGCTTCTTTCATCTTTACTTTAATAGCAATTCATTTCACTGATTTAAACAGATTTTGTTTCAACCCATCCATCTTAGCACTTGATATATTCCTTAAATTATTCCTAAACTTCCAAAAAGTTGTAATATTCTAATATTACTATATTAATAATATACCTAAAGACACGAGAGCCACAGAAGTTATGGAAGCAATCTGACAGATCTTATTCCTTGTAAATCATAGAAATTGTGCTTTCAACATCCTCAACAGCCACAACAATGACAATTTTGAAGGCACTATTCTATAATGACAGCCTCAATGAATTTAAAGAATTCCAAAATAAGTCATAAAGCATTACTGATAAATCTAAGTTACTTAATATTTAAATAAATCTTTATTCTACAATTCGACTAATACCCCTTAATTTAAAGGGACTAATAGAGGTGTTACTTAGTTTGCTTGTTAGTTGTACATGTAAATATATGCCAACAATAATAGAGCTTGTATAATAATATGTGATACATCAAAACAGGCCATCTGGAGAACTAATGAATAATCAAGGGACTCCAAATTAAACTATAGAATTTTTCTTAGAATCTTTAGGACAACACTGTCAAGTTCAATCTAATCATTTAGACTCCAGAATCAATTTTTCAAACTTTATGACAGGTCTAATAGTTCCCACCTGTTTCTCTTGCCTGACTTTTGACTGGCAAGTTACCAGCTAGGGTGGAAATGTAGACAAAGACCCCTGTTACACTCCGGCTGTTTCTCTACTGTGAGATCACTCAGCCATTAAATTAGTTCCAGCCCACTTTTGCTAAATCTTAATTTTGAAGGATATGTAGTGTTAGATTACTGAGATGGAACGTCTTATATTCAACTTGTAAAAAGATTTGGAGGCACATTATGTATAGCTATTATATATGCAGTTTAAATATTAAATGTCTATCTGCAATTTCAAGTAAAATATCTTATATTTATTAATTCACATATGTTCATTAGTTATTAAATGACAAGCTTAAAAAACAGAAGGCTTTAAAATTATGTTTATGTCATAATTAAATGCTTACAATTTAATTAGGAGACAATTATATTTAAAAGCGTTGTCTTTTTTAAAGGTTTACAAGTCATTTTAAATATTTTAAGGCAATATACTTAATTTTGTAAAGCACATTGAAATAAAATATGATCGTGATATAAAAATGAAAAAAAAATTTTTTAAATATATGTTTATTGTTACTGACTTAGATCTACTAATTTATATAGGATATAACTCTAAACCAATATTGTATGTGAGCTGGTAATTCACTGAAACAAAGTAAGTTTATGCTAGTGCCTTTCAAAAGCCTCATTACATGTGGTGTTCTGTTATAAGGATGAGCTACTGCAAGTCTTGGGTTCATAAACTCTCTGGCTCTTGCTTAATTTTGACTGACTATAAGAAGCAGAAATTCAGAAGCTTTTCTTTCTGTTTTAGATTAATTAGAGCTTACTGGAACAGACTACATTTCATTTTAAGCAAGGTGAAAACAAACCACTTTTCACAACAGTTTTGAAAGCTGACTTATTTTACTCTCTAGTACTTAAAATTAACCATACTTTGGTGTTTGGATATAATGGTAAACGGCTTAGGGTTAAAAGTGAAAAGGTAAAATGTAATCCTCTCCACCAAATAAATAAACTATGTTTAAAAGTTGATAGTATTTTCAAAGTTGCAGGTGTCCTGATGGTCAAAGAAAAGAAACAAATAAAAACCAACAGTCAAACTCCAGGGCACAAAAAGCAGCAAGACTGTTTAATAGCAATATTTAAACCACTTCAACAAAAAATAAAGCTAGTAACCTATAATTAGATAAAGTGCAAATAGATGAACATGTCACAGTCATGAATATTTCAAACAAACATACCATTCAAGACTGTCTCATAGTGTTTCTACTAGTTAATCAGGATATATTAAATTAATTAATGATCATAAATTAATTATTTACTAGGGTATAACTGAAATGTATAACTGAAATATTTTTGACATTTAAACTAGTTCAAACAAATTGAAAAGTACATTTTTTCTTTTAGTTCTAGTTCCCCAAGATAATGAAGCAAATAAATATTTTAAAAATCAGAAAATGTTGCTTTTTTTAGAGAACTAATTCCTTAGGAACAAAATGGTATAAATATAAAGCAATAAGTGAACCTGTGAAACCAACAAACCAATGGAGATATATAAATTGCACTGGGGATGGCATTTAATTTCATTGTACGAGGTGCAATGACAATAAAGTTTATAAAGGTTATTATCCTTAAATATTTTGACCAAGTACATTTTGAACAAAAACAATTTAGTACTGTTTTTAGAAGTAGGTAATAAGGTAGTTCATATATGCCCTCTTTAAAGTTATTTCACACATTTCTATAATAATTTTTTATCAATATTAACACTGTTGCCTGATTCCATAAAACTCATATTTTATAGAATTATGGCTTTGTGTAAATATATAAGATTAATCCATTGAACAAAAAAAAGTTGAAGTAAATAGTCTTGTTCATCCTACCTATTAATACCTAATATTTCCAGTCATGGTTTGATGTATCTTGGCTTTTCCACCACAGATATTTAAATAATCAAGCCTTTTATTGCATTAAAGTAAAACTCAGTATGTGTGCATGTTTGTATCTGTGTTTGGCAATTCCAGATACTAGAAACCAAACAATTATACATTTATTTATCAAACTTATCCACGCCCATCTCCCCCCAATGTCAAATAACTCAATCAGAAGTTGATTTATGCTTAAATAAATTGCTTACACTGCTTTATCCATTTTTGCTTGTGTGAAAGTATCATTAGTTACATGCCAACTTAATCTAACAAGATGCAATATAACATTTATGCTAAGCACTAAATTTTAATTTTCAATTTTATGATGGCAAATACCATTTTAAACCTTTTTAGAACTGTATATTCGCATTACACATGTGGGGTGTGTCTGTGAATTTTTCACTAATATGCGGACAATTTTCATAATATACAGCAAAAAGGTGATTAGACTGTTAATTTTAGAAAGCTTTAAATGGATTAAGGGTCCAATATCATATGCATGTACCAAGGGTGGGGCTTTGATCATGCTGCTGCAACCATCATCTGACTTTCTGATTCTCCTGTGAATGCTGCTGCCATCTAAACTAGTCCTTAGGTACTTAAGAGACAGATGCCCTTAATTCTTTTCCAGGACTTCTTCCCACAGATTAAAAACTGTAGATGTTAACCTTCAATTTGAAATTATGGGTGATGTGAAAAATTTTTCAGCTTGTACATTACACCTCAGCCACCCCATTATAATTGAAGTAAATGGCATTCATATTTAACCAAATGTTATATTTGCCATCTGACTTGGTCACTTCCAGAATCTGCAGAAAAAATCCTTATTGTAATATCAAATGGCAATGGAAACAGTAAATTGATTATTTCTACACACACAGAGGGAACTAAGATCATTCAACTATGGGAAATGCCCTCCACTCTCATCCATGCATAGCATACACAAAATGCAAGATGATAACAGGCCATAAGCTATGGTGGCACAGATAGTAAATCTCTGACCTTCATTTCAAGGCAACCAAATAAATACAGGTTCTAATTACCTTATGCACTTCAGGACAACTGCTTTGAACACACCATATAATTAAATCTATGTTTTAATATAATTAAATCACAGAACATAGGAAAATACAAGAAAATTTAAATTTGATATTAAAACAGAAATGTTCACAATGTTCACCTGCCCACCAGCTCAATTGGGAATGGAATCACATTGTGCAAAGGTTTATCCTGGAAACTGTATGATACACATTCACAATTACAGCACTTTAATTTTATTTGAGCAATCAGAAATATATTCAATCACACTAACAAAAAGGCAAGGAAATCTAGTACAAGCAATAAAGATTTGAAAAACCTGGCTGACATGCCACAACTTCTAAAAGCAATACACAGTAAGGAGATCCATTCAGTCAAAATTACTATTATCACAATTGGGACAAAGTTCTTACAAATTACAAGAGTGTAACAAAAACAATTTGGGTGAAATAGGAAGAGGTTATCTTCTAATCAGGTTATCTGAATGACGTACCTGATCACTCCTATTTCATTTGGACAAAATCAACCACCATTTTGTTATACGAAAAGGTGCATTTTTTAGGGATTGCCACTAGCTATTGTTTTATGGATTGTAATAAGTTTAAAACCCAATGTCAATATCAGAAATAGAAAAATAATATAGCAATGTAGTTGTTGCTAAAAATGGTAATGATGTGTGACAGTTCATAGCTTTTTAAACCTTCTAGCAAGCTTTTGCAGTTCCTTGCCAGACTTATTTTCAGTAAACTAAGAGAATGGAAAGTCCAAATGAAAATACAAATTTATTTTCTTTTGCCAACTCTCTCTCTCTCTCTCTCTCACAGTGAAATAAATGTTAGTGCAATCTCTTACCCATCAAGAAGATTCATTGTGGTTGATGTAACTTCAGAAAACAAGACTGTTTTCCCCAGGATCCTAGTATCAAGATTTTGCTTATATCTCTCAAAGCTAAATTTTTCAGATGAAAGTGCTTCCATCTCAGTAACTACTGGAATGAGCAAAGGTGTTATTTCCATATTTTCACTGCAAGAGGATACAAACTTAAGAGACACCTTGCTGGATGTGATTAATCCTTCCGCAGTCATATTTCTTCTGAGCCACTCCAAAAAAGTATTGTGGAGAACCTGTTTGATATCAAATAAAACAAAATTGCATGACAATATAACACACACATATCAAAATTAAAAGGTATCAAATTGTAAGACTTTATTTCTGTTCCCCAAAAGGAGGTAAACTAACATTAACTTCCTAATAAGTATTTGATTTCTTTACTTAAATTTATATGGGTGATATAGCATTTTGGAAAGTATTTGAGCTGTATGATTAATTGGGATAAGTCCTACCTACTTCCTTTGAGTGTAAATATATAAACAGAATTATATAAAGAGTTGGGTTTTATAATTTCCACTGAATATATTAAATACTTAGGACTCTTTATTCTCAAAAATATGTTTAAATTTGTGGAAATAATGTTATATATTTTAGAAAATATTGATTTGTACGTTAATAGGTAGATTAACATTCCATTCAGCTTGTGGAGCAAAATTAATGTTATTAAAATGAATATTGTCCTTCATTCAACTTATGTCTTGAAAAGCATTCCAGTGTTAATTCCAAATAAATATTTTCTTCAAGTAGACAAATTAGGAAAAAATCCCTCATTGTTAAAAATCTTAATGTTATGTTGAATTATATTCCAAAAGTCTGCAATCTGACTATCTTTCAGGAATTATGGTTTTATTGGGCCTGGGTGGTTGCAAAAACAATTATTTTGAGAAATTGAAAAAGAGGTATCATTCTAGATATTAAGGATTAGATTCAGGAAATGTATAATTTATTTGTTTTTGAGAAAGCAGTATGTTTCTCTTTCATGATATTTTACAACAGATTAGTTAATAATAACAACAGAGTATTACAAGGTATTTTTGAAAGCCAGTTAAGTGACATATTTAGGTGCTTATTAATTTTTTGTTTTTTCTCTTTTGTTCTATTTTTTATGATTTGTATTGTATATTTCATTGTTTATCTTTGTAGTTTTGTTTTATCTTTTAATCTTGTTATAAAATGAATTTAAATATAACCCTTGGAAAACATGTACCTTCAGAAAAATAATAATCCAAACACAAAATGGTATTACTGACTTCCAGTGCAGATCATATCCCCAAAGTAACTTAATATCTTTAGGTTTACAAGAATGTTGACAAGAATCTATAACATTTAGTAGATACATTACTTGTACTTAAAGTACATGTAATAGAATATCATATTTATTAAAATATATTACCATCAATTGATCTGAAGATTATATACAGAACAGGGTAGCAGAAATGTGGTTAAGATATTGAATAATCCATTTCTAACACCTTCATGAAGCTAAACTGGTATTTCTTTAGCTTATTTTCACATATTAAAAACTTGATTCAAACCCTTTTTCAAATCTAGAAATCAGCAGAAAGTTTACCAATAATGGCTTTGATTTTAAAAAGTACTTTCTAGGTTAATGTAACACCGTGACACTTAAGTTACACATACTTTACTTGCTATAAAGTAAAGTGCAAGAGATATAAAAAGTAAAACTGTCAAATATCCTCTGGAGACTTTGCTTCCATTCAAAAATAAATATTTTAAGCATTTTAAAATGGTATAACATAAGTCTGGTGTGGGCCAGAAGTAGAGATGGAAGAATGGTAGTAATACCTGTTCTTCACACAAGTAATACATAAAATTAACAGTGATGAAAAAGTTGTCTGATAAAAAGGAGTGGCATCTAGGTACTGCCAGCTATTAGATAAGAATTACATTTTATAGGACAATTTACATTTTATAGGATAGTTTAGCTTCCTGAAAAGATTCACTCAGTTGGCACCTGACACTTAAAAGTGAAACTCTGAATATGAGTAGTTTATCTTTCAGTCATGTCAGTTTGGTCTCAATAATAAGCAAAACCTTTTTCTAGGTTAATGCAACACTGTGACACTTAAGTTACACATACTTTACTTGCTATAAAGTAAAGTGCAAGAGATATAAAAAGTGAAACTGTCAAATGTCCTCTGGAGACTTTGCTTCCATTCAAAAATAAATATTTTAAGCATTTTAAAATGGTATAACATAAGTCTGGTGGGTACTTTTTAAAATCAAAGCCATTATTGGTAAAATTTCTGCTGATTTCTAGATTTGTACAAATACAAATTAAATAGCATTTACAATTTTAGCCAGCTATAGAAATTTGGAGACTTGGATAACATTTCATAAAATCAAATTTTAAATATGCATTTGGCAATATGGCACCTCTGGATTCCAGGGCATCTGTTGCATCTTAAATTTATGCCCACAGTGCCCCAAGTTAAACTTAAAAAAAATAAGCTTCAACTGGTGCACAATGCGGTGGCATGGGCAGTTATGAAGAGCACATATTAATGCCTGTGCTTCGTGAGCTGCATTGGCTGCCAGTTTGCTTCCGGGTCCAATTCAAGGTGCTGGTTATGACCTTTAAAGCCTTTCGTGGTATGGGGCTGGGTTATCTATATCTCAAGATCACGTTGCTAAAAGGTCATGAGATTTTGTATTGCAAATTTTTTTCTAGGGATGGGATGGATGTCTTGACCATCGTTTGAGATTATATTGTGGCACAGTAGCTGAAAATATCATTAATAGGTATATTCAAGTTGAGGCAAAAAAGACAAACACTAATCTTGATCAGTTCTAAGGTTCAAAGTATATATAGATATATAGATAACCCAGCCCCATATCACGAAAGGCTAAAGGTCATAACCAGCACCTTGAATTGGACCCGGAAGCAAACTGGCAGCCAATGCAGCTCACGAAGCACAGGCGTTAATACGTGCTCTTCGTAACTGCCCATGCCACCACATTCTGCACCAATTGAAGCTTCCAGATAGCCTTCAAGGACAGCCGCATGTAGAGCACATTACAGTAATCCAATCTGGAGGTGACTAGGGCATGAGTGACTATGAGCAGAGCCTCCTGATCCAGAAAGGGGCGCAATTGGTGCACAACACAAGCTGCGCAAAGACCCTTCTAGTCATGTCTGCCATCTGCTCTTTGAGCAGAAGTCACAAATCTAGGAGGACTCCCAGATTGTGCACTGGGTCTATCTGGGGCAGTGCCACCCCATCCAGAACCAAAGATGATATAGTCCCAAAACTGGACTATATTCATAGAAGAAATGCTTAAAACCTACTGAAATATGTTTTCTTGTATTTACTGGAACAAACTGTAACTACTATCAATTTCTTTTCAACATTTTACAAATAATTGTCAACAGGTAATCACAATAGCACAGCATGGATGTCTTATGTTTGAAAAGAAACTATGATTTTGGATTTTAGCAGTTAACAGTTTCAGCTGACTTTCAGTTACAAAGATTGCTGACTTACCACCCTACAAGATCAAGATTGCCACAACCATTTCAGCCAAACAAAATATCATTTCACAGTACAGTAAAACTTTGATGTAACAGACCTCCTCAGCAAAGCAACAGATAACTTAGTTGATTTCAAAGTATTCTGGGCAAGGCACGTAAATTTATGTTCACTTCAAATTATTTGCATCAGTTTACAGGTAGTCCTTGTTTAACGTCCATTCGTTCAGCAACTGTTCAAAGTTACGACAGCAGTGAACAAAGGTCCTCAAAGTTCCAGTCATTACAGTGCCCCCGTGGTTACATGAACAAAATTTGGGCCTACCTGCATTTAAAACCACCTTTTGGCTATCTGCCTACCTGTTGCTGCCAGCTGCCCCACCACCTGGCCCTGCCCACCGCTGCACTGGTCACATTGTGCACCACTACTGTACTAGCTGGAGCCTTCTTTTGTACTGCCTTCTTTTGTGCCAGTGCAGCTGGGACTGTCTCTCATGTAACTGTCAGGACCTTCATTCATGCGCCAGCCAGGGCCTTCTTTCGCAAGGTGGCAGCATGCAGGGCCAGGAGGTGGGGCAACTGGCAGCAGTGGGTAGGCAGGCAGCCAAAAGGGCAAAGATGGGGGGAGACAGGTGGATGGGGGAGTTGAAATGGAGGCAGTCCCTTACCTTCTTCCAAGAATGCTTGGATTCACGTGGGTCCTCCCCTAATGACCGCTTAGGATTTACTCAACAACAGCAACTGGGATTGCCGGAACTGCTGTCACTAAGCAGAGCGGTCACATGACGTTTAGCTCAACAATCACATCGCCTAACAATGGAGTTGCCAGTCCCAATTAGGGTTGTTAAATGACGACTACCTATATATCATTTGTGTAACAGCTCAATGCAGAAATGGTATAAATCAGTATAAATGATGTATTTTTATGTTTATTAGACATTCAAGAATAACAGCCCCTCTTCTCCATGGTCCATTAAATTAACTGTGTACCAAAATAACTCCAAATCCCAAAACTTGTATACAACATTCTTTAATCTATTATTTCTATTTTGTGTTCCACTTCTAGATTCTTTCCTTGGCAATCTGTATTACAGTCATAAATACTTGATCTGCTCAGACATCTTGTTTTTTTCTTGTTGGCAGGTTTGACTGGATGTTATGTTTTTAAAAACGTGGCAAAAAAGTAACTTTCTATCACAGCTTGGGAAAGTCTTTGGTGCAACCTATCATCATCTCTGCAGTTGATGATATCTGCACCCAATTTTTTTTTAGATTTTTTTTATCCTGCCTTTATTTTTTTTAATAAATAAGTCAAGGTGGCAAACATGCCTAATATTCCTTCCTCCTCCTATTTTCCCCACAACAATCCTTGTGAGGTGAGTTGGGCTGAGAGAGAGTGACTGGTCCAAAGTCACCTAGCTGGCTTTCATGCCTAAGGTGGGAAATTAAATGTTTATAGACTGTTCCATGCAGATCTGGTTTAAACATTAATCAACTTTCTTTTCATTTGTTTTTACCTTCTTTCATGATGAAACTTCTTACAAGTACAACGCCTGCAAATTTGGTGAAAAGAAATAAAATAATAAAATAAAAAAGTTCCTGTCATTTTTCTTTTTTCACTGAACAGATTAGGCTTACGCAAATCTAGAGATCACTTCTAGCAAGTGAAAGCAGTCAGTGGCTTCAGTCCAATATACTCTATAACCACTAGAGTAGCTCAGGATCATACTTGTTCCTTGAAGT